GCCTGTTTGGCCTCTCTGCCAGCCTTCCAGTTTGCCTGAGCAATTGTTGCATCTCCCTTCTGGTGCCCTCAGCAGTGTATAACTGCCACCCATTTAGGGGCCCACACAGCATCTAGCAGTTTGAGGGTTTCCTGCCCATACTTGATAATTTTTCCTCCCAAGTTAATGAGTCCCCTGTCTTTATGTAAGGCCGCATGGACATGAATGGTTGTGAAGGAAGTTTTGGAGTCAGTGTAGATGTTTACCCCTATTCCTGCAGCGAGCTGGAGTGCCTGTGTGAGAGCGATGAGTTCAGCCTTTTGTGCAGAAGTTCCAACCGGCAGCAGGTGGGCTCAGTGACTGAGTCCAGAGTTACCACCACATACCCAGCAAAGCCCATGTCATCCCTGGCAAAGCCGCTGCTATCTGTGAAATATTTAATGTCTGGATTGTGATAGGCTGATGAGTTAGATCCGGCCAGCTCGAGAAAACTGTCTGTAACCTCTGAGCAATCATATTGGGAGCGGGGGGGGGGTGAATCAGCCAGCAATAGGGTGGCCAGGTTTAGAAAGTTAACAAACTCCAGCCAGATGCGTGGTTTCACATAATGTACTCTGGTATTTGATCGCCCAGTGTACTAGCTGGCTGAGAAGGCTTCGAGGTTGACTGCCAAGGCAGTCCTGGAGATAGTGGGCAAGTTTTTAAAACCTTGTGGCAACTGATCCAGGTTAATCGCCCCTTCTCTCCAGTAATGGGATTTTCCCACTGGAAGGCAAAAATAGCTGGCTCTGTGGGGCTAGGCAGATGCAGAAAAAGGTGCCTTTACAATCTAGGCAGGTTAAAAATTTTGCTTCGGCTGGGACAAGGCCTAAACACGTGTAGGGATTTGGGACTACGGGGTGCAGAGTAGCTGTTGCTGAGTTTACCATCCAGAGGTCCTGAACTGGCCTGAAATCCTCAGCCCCCAGCTTCTGGACAGACAATAAGGGGGTGTTCCATGATGACTGGCAAGGTCAGAGGATCTCGTATTTTAGGATTTTATTGAGGTGTTTTTGAATTCCATCCTGGGCCTTGCAGGGAATAACGAACGTATTGCTTTTGGCTGATGGGGGTGGCTCTCAGCTTCAGTTCCACCACTCCTGGGGGCACGTTTAGAGCCAGTCCTGGGGGATCATCTTCAGCCCACACACATGCAATCTTGAAGGCAAGCTCAGAAACCTCAAGAGGCCTCCCTTCAGGGGTACAGAGCCGCCATTCCTCTTCTTGTGCAACGGTGAGGATTAGAGCCTTTGCCTCAGGTCCTGAGTTTTAAGGCTCCCATGCTGTCAGAGTCAAAAGGTAATCTGTGCCCTCAGTTTACATAAGTCCCTGCCCTTCAGGCCCACAGGCAGTCAGGGAGATAAAAGAGTTCCTACTACATACTAACAAGGGATGGGGCCAGTTCTCTGTAGCCCCATAATCATGCTTTTGTGAAAGGGGACCCACTGGTTGGGGGGGTCACAGCTGAGTGTACCCGTATCCACCTGTATCCACCATGAGGTCAGTGGATGGCCCCTTACCGTCATTTGGATCATAGGCTCCTGGAGGCCTAGTAAAATAGAGCCTGGGCTGTCCTATTCCTCTCCATAGCCTTCCAGGGCTGCCAGTCCAACAGCATTTCCTTCCCAGGGGCTGGCTTTCCTACTGGTAGGCTGATACTTTCCCTTGACAACTCAGCCTTTGCCTTTGGTCTGGGGGGCTTTCCGTGAGTTCTCAGCCCACTGGGGACTTTTATTTTTCCAGTGCCCAGTAGGCCCAATGACTTCACCCTAGTTCCTCTCTAGGACGGGGGCATCCCAGGGGCACTGGTCACCATTCATGGTGATTTTCCCTTCCTCTATTAGGACTGACCCTTGGGGGCCTGCATGACTGCTCAACAAGGACTGCAACAAGGAAGTCCACTTTCTTCTTTATCTTCAAATCAGTCTCCCGTTTTGTCTCTTGATCTTGATTGACAAAAGCCTTTGTGGCCACCTCCAGAAGTTGGCTGGTGTTCATTCCAGCAAATCCCTCCAGTTTCTGCAATTTTCGCCTTACGTCCTATTGGGCCTGGCCAACAAAAGTGGCATTGATCATCCACTGGTTTTCAGTGGCTTCTGGGTCAAACAGTGTGTACAAACAGAAGGCCTCACACAAGCACTCATAGAACTGGCTGGGACTCTCATCTGGCCCTAGGAGGAACTTTGATGTTTTGCTCATGTTCGTGGCCTTTTCCCCTCCTTCCTTCATGCTTCCCAATAATGCTTCCTGATATTGCTCAAGTTGCCAGTAATCTCTGTCATCCTTAGGGTCCCAGTGGGGGTCTTCCTGGGGGAATGGGGTCTGAGTGTAGGCTCAGGCATTTAAGGTGCCTACAGAGACGTGATTTTCCAACATGATCTGCCAGCATTGTACAACATCCCTCCTCGGTATTGAACAGTCAGAAGGAGCTGTCTGCAGTCTGCCCAGGTGGGTTTGTGAGTTTGGATGATGGACTGCATCATCAGATGCAGTCAGAGCCTGAGGTTTTTCCATGAAGGAGGGGGTGTGATGTTTCCAGTTCAGGAGGTCTGTGGTGGTAAAGGGCTCACAGGCAAATGTCCGTCCTCCTTCTTGTGTTTACCCATGCTGATCATAATATATCGGACCTTGGTTCCCGCTGGGAACCCTTCTAACTTGACTCCAAAATCTACATTAATTCTCTCCCTTTTTAAAATTTTTAAGCATACACTCCAAGGGGGTGCCCTTACTCTGATTTTTACCCATTTCCTTCCTTTACCAGACATCAAGACAGACACGGAGGGGTAGAGGTTTTGGAAGAGAGGTAAGGGGGTCCTCTTCTCCCAACACACAAGGGAGAACAATATGTGCTGCTTATCAGTGACCTAGACACGGTCACCCGGCCAGAAACTGCTCCTACACAGGGTCCTCACTCGCATTGTCTGTCTCTAGCCGCCCCCCTCATGGGGATTTAGGCGTGTCTTAACCATAGTGAGTCCATATAATTCCCAGACAAGAGGCTCAACCTAGACCATAAGAGTTTGCCACAGACCTACTCACTTTGTAGCCAGGCCATGTCTCAGACTCTCGTGCGCTTGCTCTTTCTCTCTCTCACACACACACACACACACACACACACACACACACACACACATACCTACCCCTACCCCTACCCCCACCCTGCTCCCTAAACCTGAGAGACACAGTTTCACCCTGGATAGAGATAGTTAGGTGTCTCTGGGAGGTGAACAGTTTCCTTTCGTGCCTCCAGAAGGCAGGCCTGTTATTTGAATCCAGGTTCTTACCAGTCTGACGGGCAGTGCTCCCAATTGGTTCCCAAGCCTTCCCTGGGTTCCTTTGTGAAACCAAGACTCACTCTCCGGTGCGTCAGAGGTGAGTCCCTCCATTGGATCAAAAGGTCTGCTGGCGCCTGGTGAGACGGTTTTCCCAACAAGCCGGGAATGCCAAGTCCCGGGGACAAGGAGGTGAAAACACCATCTCTGAATCCCAGACAAGAGCCCTCAGAAATGTTATGGGATACTCAGACAGGGAGGCGGGTCAGGAAGCAATTTTTATTCATCATTGCCAGCAGTGGCTCTGCAAATTCATCTCCAAAGACTGGGCCCCAATAACAAAGGGGTTTGCCATATAGACCCTTGCAAGCAGGTTACAGAAGCTAGAGGCAAGGTTTAACCCATGTATGGCTGTGTGCATTTCCATTGACTACTTTCCCCTCGGTGCTATGCGACCTTTCTCATGCTCAGATTCTTTAAGTTTTATCTCCCTGCTGTGTTGCCCCCCTCCTCCGATACATTACCAGGCTGGAGTGTAGCTCAGCGGTACAGCACTTGCCTAGCATGTACAAGGCCTTGGGTTTGATCCCTGGCACTGCAAAAAAAAAAAAAAAGGTAAAATAATAACGCCAGCAACTGTACGGTGGTAGAAACAGGATTTCTAAGAAATACCAGTTCTTCATTTGTAGAGCAGAATCCTACACTCAGGTCTGTCAGGTTTGTGTGAAGTGTCAGTAGGGTCTTTGTGAAAGTGGGTTCTTACCTTGTACTGCCGGCACTGCTGCTTTCCTTCCCTTGATAACAAATTGTGTAACATCTGAGTTTACTCTTCAGTCCATCTTAATTTCACTAAAGTGGAAACAGCCAGACAGTACCGGCTTCCCGGTGTGATGGAACAAAGAGTAGAACAGATCCCCGGGATGTGTTCTTGCCAGAAAGAAGTGAGCTGGGCTCTGACGAACTCTAGACCTGACTGCAGGTCTACAGGAGACTGGGGGAACAGAGGGTGTCTCAAGCATCACCGGGAGGAGAGAACTGACCAAATCCAAGGGCAGGAGAGTTACAGCGCAAATGCCACATTTCCTTCAATAAATACATGGCCTTTGAAAAAGAGAAAGGAGCTGGTGGAGTGGCTCAAGTGGTAGAGCACCTGTCTAGCAAGTGGGAGGCCCTGAGTTCAAACCCCAGTACCACAAAATAAAAAATTTTTAAAAAAAGATAAATGTATCAGAAGAGGCGTGCACTAGCTTTGGATTCTGAGTCAGAGAAAACCACCTGGAAAAGCAGAGGGCGTAGAACAGGAACTGGGTGTTGGCTGATGTTAAGGAACTCATGTGAACTGGATGTAACCTTAATACAGCTGTATTTGGTGAAAGTCGTGTATATATTAGACACGGCTAATGAGGCATTGGTAAGTTAAAAGCAGGCTCAGTGACTCATGAAGGCATTGACTCCCAAATGGATGCTTTGTTATTCTAGCTTATTTACAAAGAATTGCAACAAAATAACCAGTAATAAAACATCTTCTAGTTCCAATGATTCTATGAGGATTTTCTTTTTTAAGTAATTGTACTACTAAGGTGACACTTTCAGCCTCATAACCAAATTCAGAACTAGCCGATGTTAGCCCATTTCCTCTTAGGGAACAGTGCGGGTGGACTAAGCTGAGCTTCCGTCTCCAGCTCTGATTTTGTTTGCTGTTTTATTCAGGGGCTGTGGACGGCAGCAGCAGGGTAAAATGGAAGTGCACACGGTGGACCTGACACCAGACACCGCCTACAACCTAATGCACACCATTGTCTTTGGCTTGTTGGCGCTGAGTACAATGAGGTATTCACTCTTGTCTGACTGCTCTGATTCATTTTTCCTTTCTTGATGTTACTTAGCAACATAATTTAGAGACTGACAGTCGTCTTCATTCATGATCATGGTTCCCATAAGACTTCCTGGTGTGCCATCTCCGTCTAGGACATACCACCCACCCCGAGCCGGGCTTTTCTGGACGACAGCCACTGCTCACTCCCCAAGGGCGAGGGGCCTGGCCGCGGACCCTTTGCTGAGCCTGTGTCTTGTTGTGGCTTCGCCAGGGACTTGTCTCAGGCACAGGCCCTGCGTGGCTGCTGGGGCCGGCTTCCCCTGTCGTTAGAGAATGAAATTCTCTGGGCGTCGCACATTTTTCCCCGTCGTTGCAGGATGAAATTCCTCTGCACGTTGCACGTTCCCTCCCTGTCGTTTCAGGATGAAATACCTCTGGACGTCACACATGTGCGTGTTTGCATCCTTCGGCGTGTGCAGCCGCGAAGTGTGGGGGCTGCTTCTGAAGTGTGTCCGTCTTCACAGCCCCCGGAGGGTCAGTCCCGCCCCTTGTCCATCGAGCTTTGATGACTTGTCGTGTGCCTGTCACGCCAGGTCTTCAGCAGTTGTCAGTCAGGTGAAGCAGGTGCCGAAATTGGAAACTCGAAGCGGGCCATCCACTCGCTAAGCTTTATGCGGAATTATGTTTTCAGTTTTTTAAAATTTTAATCTTCTGTTTAAAAATCATTTATATTTCCCTGACTGTTAGATATGTTCATTATAGAATTTAGAAAAATCGCAAAATGGGGCATTAAAATTTACCAATCGTTCCTGTATCCAGGATCACAACTCATTATTATAAGGTGTTTTCTTTAAAATAATCACTAGTAAGTGCCTGATAGTGGCTAATAGCCTGCGAATACAGTCTTGAATTGACTTTGCCCTCTAAATTCACTGAGGGGAGGAGGAGAGAGTAAATAAATCATAGATGGGTAGGTGGTAGGTGCACGAATAGGTGATTGAATGAGTGATAATAGAATGAACTTCTGGCATCGTGGATGGCAGAACTGCAAGCGTCAGTGACCAGAACGCTCCCGCTGACCGGGCGTTGTGCGCACAGGAGTCTCGCCCCCGTTGAACGGTTTTTCTGCTGTATTTAAAGTGGGCGAGTGTGTGCAAAGTAAAAGTATGAGGCAGGCTACTGAAAAGCCTATAATCTGAATAGCGTCTCTCCCGTAGATCAGCGTGATCCGGTACGCAGTCCCGACGCTCACCTTGCTGTACCTGAGCTACAAGGTAAGCCCGGGTTTCCTCAGGCTCGGCGCTGTCCACGGAGCTGCTCGTGCTGCGTGCTTGTGTGTGTTACCTGGCGAGTAGACAGGTTGGCGGCCCTTGCTGTTGACACTGATGGGAAAAGACAATCTGTTCCTCAGATGGTTTTTAATGAGTGGAAGTGTTGTAGAAGCTACTAGCATTCAGTCATTCTAATTAATTTTGATTTTGGCTGTTACTCTGCTGATGCAAATTCTGAAAATGTTTTCAGATCTATTTTGAAGTGAATAAAATAGAAAGATCTTTTTCTCCTATCACCTGAGTTACACAGAGGAAAAGGAATGAAAACATATTTTACTGTAATTCGCATTTTTATTCAGTGTTGTCCTCATACGAGAACCACACACCTATCAATAAATACAGCCTAAAATTAGGCTTTGGGGCCATACATGATGACACATGCCTGTAATCCCAGCAGTCAGGAGGCTGAAGTAGGAGGGTCCTGAGTCTGAGGCCGGCCTGTCTCAAAAAACCACAACAAGTTAAGAGTCTGCCTTTTGCATTTGAACCTGTTCCTAACTTTGAACAGAAAGTAATGAATGTTTCCATATCCTCGGCTGAGATCCCATCAGAGGCCGTGACCACTGGCCAGGTGGACCACTGTGTGACACTTAGTCACATCTTTGAGATTTACAGACCTTGAATTACCAAAAACAGCATAAATTATTGCACCCACGTGAACTCTTGCCCTGTCTTTAAAAGGAAAAAAACCAAACCATTTTGAAGTTCAGACTCTTTCTCTTCCTTCCGAAGTCAGAATGGTGGATTTGAGCCTTCAGTTGGAGGCCCTGACCTGGGAAGATGGCATGTGGAGGCCAGGGGCCCCCCCGACACACACACACCTTCGCCCAAGGAGTCAACTCCAGCTGCTTAGTTGTAGTTTTCCTTGCTTTTATTTTCATGTGAGGTTCTGCGAACCAGAAGCTTTGAGCTAGGGAAACACGTTTGATGATAGTCACTGTATTGTAAATGTTATTCAAAGCTGTATCCTAGTGTGTGGTGTCTCTCTCCATCAGAACATTTTACTGATAAAGACAGTTCTGTGCCAGCTCCCAGATGCTGGAAAACACAGAAACAGATTCCCACCTGCTTGCTCTGGGAATTTTATTTCTGCCATCTACATAAGTGAAACTCCTTAAAAATACCTGGAAAGCCACCGTTGGGTATTAAACAAAGTGTGTGTCTCACGAGGAGCTGAATAAATTTACCTTTCCCCCTGGACTAAGGCTAACACACCATCCCAATCGTCTTTCCCCCAAGACGTGCTGTAAGCTACGACAGTCTTGTTCATCGTCCATGTGTCTGCAGGCTGGGTCCTTTTATGTCTCAGCTATCTACTGAAATTTTATGTATTTAAAGAAGAATATTTGAGAGCCAGGCGTGTTGGCACATACCTGTAATCCCAGCTACTTGAGAGGCAGAGGCAGGAGGATCTTGAGTTCCAGGCCAACCCAGGCAAAGTTAGCCAAACCCTACCTCTAAAGGAAAATTGCTGTGTAGAGCACTTGCCTCGAATGCACAAGGCCTTGGGCTCAATCCCAGTACCACCAAAAAAAAAAATGCTTTTTGAGGACGAGGGCTCTCGTTCTTGATGAAGTTGGGAAGGACATTGTGGGAGAAACGGTCCTCACTCTAGAGCCTCACACAGTGCCTAGGGGACCCCGTGAAAATGTCACACTCCAGGCCCAGTGGGAAGCACTGGTAGCAGAGCAAAGACACAGGTGTTTTAGACACAGTGGTGATGCTTTCAGACGGTCCAGCTGAGGAAACCCTGCCGTGGTGGTGACTGAGTTCTCAGCAGCCCACATTGACTTTCTTGGCAGGACAGTCCTGTGTCATGGGGCTGACCTGTGCCTTGTAGGACGTTCTCAGCTCCTCTTGCCTTTTGCCAACTGAATGAAGATTCCGCCTCCCCCACACACAACCCAGTCATGAAGGCATCAGACTTTCCTGGAGAGCCTTCTGCTCGACTCTCCCATCACACCAGAGATTCTGTTAATATGCATCAAACCATGAGATCAAAAATAAAACCATGGTGCGATGCAGAGAGAAGGAGCTGGAGCTGGGTGTGTCCCAAGTCATTGGACGTATTTGGAGTGCTGCCTGCTGCACCATCCAGCCACCTTGTGGTGACACTTGAGAGTCTGCTTTAAAAGCATTTTTGCATCGGTAAAGTAGCTAAAGCGGTAGAGCACCTGCCTAGTGGGCACAGAGGTCATGAGTTCAAATGCCAGGAGCACCAAAAGAAAAAATTGGCTGGGCACTGATGGTTCACACCTGTAATCCTAGCTACTCAGGAGGCAGAGATCAGTTTTTTTTGAGACCCTATCTCGAAAAAAAAAAAAAAATCACAAAAAATATAGGGCTGGTGGAGTGGCTCAAGGTAAAGGTCCTGAGTTCAAACCCCAGTACCAAAAAAAATAAATAAAATGAAAACGTTTTTGCTGTCTCCTATGGGTGCCTTCTGCTCTTCCGAGTGGATGGCGTGGTGTTAATTGCATTGTCATTTTCTGTGCCTGTTCTTGTCACATCAAAGTAACACTTGCTAGCTGTGAGCCCACACTGGAGCATTTTATTAGCGTAACATCAAAGTTCATCTTTACGAGGTGACGTCACCTGGTCCCCATGGCCTGCACTCGGAGCCTCTGAGCAACAGCTGTGAATCCATGTTACCAGGATTGCACCATGTCACCAGAAATCACACAGTGCTGTGCGAGTTCTCTTTCATTTAATCCCAGTGACAGGCACGTGGATTTTGTCTGTATTTTGCTTTTAATTTCAGTTCTGGCCTGGAATGATGGGTGAACTCTCCGAGCTGAGGGAATTCTATGACCCGGACACAGTGGAGCTGATGGACTGGATCAAGTAAGGAATCCCCTAACTTGTGAACTCCTCAGTGCCTGGCTAGCGTGTCTACAACCCATCTCATTGGGTTGTTTTTTATTGGCGGGGGGGAGGGGGGACGGCAGGGGAGAAGATTGGTTGGGTTTTATTTTTCTGCCTCTTAATTGTGATGAAGCATTTGTTTTTATTAATTTTTTTTTCTTTAAAACTCCATATTTAAAAGTAACTGCTCATTCCAACTATAGCCCCTGAAGAAAGGAAAATACCCACTTAGAGAAGAAAAAAGATCAGAAAGTAAACCTCCAACACTGACAGGACAGGGAATGGAACTCACATCTCTGTTAAAACTCACACTCTTCTCCTCTTTGTCAATTTTATCTTTGTTATTTTCATTTTAATACCGTTCACATTTTCTGTTAACGCTGCCACTCGAATGTATTCTTCCCTTGTTAATTATTTTAAGATTACAGTGTAAACTACTGTTAATTAGAACTGGCATAACACACTGAAGATTTCATTTTAACCAGTCATATTTCCTAAGTTCTGGCTTAGAGAAAATTTAAAATGCAATCACTGGCTGGGAGCAGTGGCTCACCCCTGTAATTTCAGCTGCATGGGAGGCTGAGATTGGGAGGATCATGGTTTGAGGCCAGCCAGGGCAAAAAAGTTTGAGAGACCCCATCTGAACAGGAAAAAGCTGGATGCAGTGGCACACACCTGTCACCCCAGTGACAACAGGAAGCAAAGATAGAAAGATCACTCTACAGCTGGCCTGGGAAACAAGCAACACCCTGTCTCCAAAAATCCAGAGCAGAAAGGACTGGGAGCTTGGATCAGGTGACCGAGCACCTATCTAGCAAGCATAGAGCCCTGAGTTCAGACCACAGTACCGCAAAAAAAAAAAATGCAAACGCTAGAGTGTTTCCTCTCTTGAACAGCAGAAAACTTGTGCATGGTACTGGTTCTTATTTTATTTTAGGCTACAATCTGTGCCTTCACCTCAGCCTCAGGATACAATTCTCACTTTTCAACGCTTTGTTCTTGAGACCAGCCTTCTCTGGCAGACATGAACTTTCCCGTCCAGGGCAGCATTCCTGTGCACTGTCCCTCTGTTTCTCCCCACTTGATCACGAAAAGCTGCAGCACCATTCGTCACAGGTGGAGACCTGCTGCAGGTCTCGAGAGGCCGAACCGGCCTCATCACTTGGGACGTCCACAGCCATGGCAGCCCTTGCTCTGGTCCCAATGTCAGCCTGAGTCTGAATCAAGGCAGTGAGTGGAATTTTTCAGAGCGGTGAGCAGTGCTTTGCTTTTATTTACTCAAAGTTTAACTGTAAGCCTCAGCAGATAATTGCGAAGAACCCTTCGGTTTCATTGCATGGAGGAGAGGAAGGGGACTCTCATGTTCGCTGTAGTCAGCTGGGAGTTGGTGGCACGTGCGTGTAAAGGACGCTGGGACGTTACAGCGTTGGGGTGGGCGGTTGCAGGCAGGGCCGTTGGACGCCCACCTTCCCATGGCACCCTGAAGATGGAAGGCCTTCCATTCCTGCATGGATTAGCCCGCTGCCCTCCGCCTTGTCCGCCCGTCTCGCAGAAGAGAATGACAGTCATTAAAGGCGTGTTGGAGCAGAGCCCAGGTGGTCTTTGCTCATCTCAGGCTGGATGTGCTTCTCTGTGGGGTCTTCATTTTCATGCTTTCTCTCAAAGAAGTTTAGTTCAGGTGACATTTTTGGGCCCGAGAGCGATGGGTGAGTTGTCACTCCAGTGTACATGGCTCTGGTACTCCTCCCTGCTGGGGAAGCCATCTGTCTGTCTGTCTGTCTGCGCAGACTCTCCTGCGTCCCGCTCCTCTCCCTCATTGGGCTCATGCAGACAGTCTCGAGACTTGGTTGGTTGGCCTGTTTTTTTGTTTCTCAGCAACTGAAAGATTCATATTCTAAAAAGAAAAAAAAACAGTCTCTATTGTGATCTAATCTTCCTGTTTTCCCCTAGAATTGTTCCAATCTAAATTACCACTTTGTAAGAATAGCTGCAGGCATGTTTATAAAATAAGCTTAAGTGGTGATGAGCGAACGCCAAACCAGTGTCTGTTGAGATGCAAGATGTGTTTGTTTAAATCAACATTCAGATCGGCTCTGCCACGGTTCCAGACACGAGGCGCGTCTGGTCCTCTCCTCACCTGCCTGCTCTCTCCTGTCTCTGAAACTTAAGATTCACCCTCAACTTGCACCTCACACTGCTTAGCCGCAGTGTCCCTGCTGCTAGCGAGCATGAGCTGCCCCTGAGGGAAGGCTGTGGCCTGGGGACATGTAGGGTGTGTCCAAAAGTGGCCGCCAGACCCCTGACGGCCCAGAACCAGGCTCAGCTCCTGTCTGCTCTGTTTCAGGCACGGTGAGTGCACAGACACTGTATATTAGTGTGGTCACCACAGTGTCTCCTGGGGACAGCTGCCATTCCAGGAGACAGCTCTAGTGACCCTCACATTGGCCAGGATAACTGTTTTCTGAAGTGTGCCCTGTGAGCCACACCTGCCTGGGCTTCACCGGGGCACCCCAGAGCCATTGAGCCCGTCTAAAGCTAGGACTTGCCATGCCTCCAAGAAGAGCAGAGGGCAGGACACCTGCAGGACTCAGCTGCTCTCCTGTCCTGCTGAGGAGCCTGGTCATGACCTTCCAGAAGCCAGGGCAATCCTCGAGGGAAAATAGAGGGTGGCATTGTGAGGGGCCATAGCAAGGAGACTGGACCTGCATGAAAGCATCGAAAGCCTTAAATGGTAATGCTTTCATAAAGGAGGGTACGTGCTACTGACACAGCTCCACAGATACTTACCGAGCTCAGCCGTGCACATACAGGACAGCCACCCATCAAAACTGCCTCTGCCTTGGCGTGCCATGGCCTCTGTGGCCGCCCCGCTGTTTCCATCCTCTGCCCTGGATTCTTCATTTCTTCCCCAGTTGACAGTTCTCAGAGCTGTGGCAGGTTTCATAAACAGATGTTTCTAGAGTTCTCAGTTTAGTCAGAGTAAACATCATTTTGCTCTCTTCTTGTGTCTTCGTGTCTTAAAGGAGAGGATATTTAAATTCATAAATCCAACAATGCTTGTGAATTAAATTTCTCTTTTTACAAAGACGTTTTACTTTTTTTATTAAGACAGAGTCTCATTGTGTAGTATTTCCAGGTTGGCCTCGAGCTCTCAATCCTCCAGCTTCGGCCTCCTATGCATCGGCCTTACAGGTGCACACCACCGTGCCCAGCTGATCTGAGTCAGAGGCTTGTTCATCTGCACAAGCCTTCCGGGCAGGCAGACCTCACGACATGGTCACCCTCGCTGCGTCCCGTGTCCTCCCTGCCCCTGGCCTATGTGTGGTCACCTGGCTGCCTGGGTCCCACCTCACACCCGCTGGGTGTGCCTTGTTTCCGAGGTGTAAACTCCTCTGTGTTCCTGGCTGGTCTTCCTTGCTGTTTGTGTTTCCTGGAGGTGGAGGTTAAAAGCTGGGTTGTTTTGCCTTCTGGTGTCTCCTGCAGGAAGAACCGGGTGGTGGTTTTAGGGTTTACGTGTGACAGGAAGCATTTTCCTCAGCAGGGCCAAGTGCACCCACAGTCTGGCTCAGTCCTCTCTGTCCTTGACTGTCTTATCTTTGGTTCCTGAATATTTTCATCTGCAAGCAAGACAGATCTGTAGAGCTGGGCACCGGTGGCTCACACCTGTAATCCCAGCTACTCAGGAGACAGCAATCAAGAGGATCGCAGTTCAAAGCCAGCCCCAAGCAAATAATCTGAAGACCTTATCTCGAAAAATCCCATCACAAAAAAGTACTGGTAGAGTGGCTCGAATGGCAGAGCCTGCCTAGCAATCATGAGGCCCTGAGTTCAAATCCCAGTACTGCCCCCCCCAAAAAAAACAGTATATTTGAAGATGTTTTAACTACATGGCTTTGGGAGGTTTTCACCAGAATGCTGTCTTCCCAATAGCGAAGCCTGCCGTGTGGATTTCTCAATGGAACTATAAAAAAGTACCAAATTCCTTTCACATTTAATCAAACTGAGACACTGCTGGATATTTTAAAGGAGACGCAGGCTAGGTTCAGATCCCGTGTGCCGTAACCCTCTTTCATGTTCAAAGAGTCGTTTTGGTGCTTGCATAGCTGTGAATGTTGAATTGGGGAGGACGCACGTGCCCCACCCTTTGTCCTCGAGCTCGGTTTTCCCCACAGCCTGCATAGCGTGGAGCTCCAGGAACAAGCGACACTATCTGCTCAGCACGCCAGCAGGCCCTCCCAGAATGTCACTTAAAGCACGCAGTGGAAGTCCGTGTGGCCTGTGCTCCTCGTCATTAGTGACGTCTCTTGCAGAATAAGTTGCCTCCAGGTTGGGCAGCCTGCCATGAGGCTGGGCAGAAAGCTATAAAAAAATTCTCTTTCATCTTAGGCATCAAAGGATGTAGAAAACCTTGGTAAAAACCGCCCTGCTGCTGTGTGTAGAGCAGGGTCACTCGTGGTTGAAAGCACAGAAGCTGCTTTAGGGACAGGCATAGGCGGCCTCAGCCCCAGGTGTCTGCGAGGGAAGAATGTCCAGGTCAGGGTTGTCGTGGTGTAGCTTTTGAATTAAGGACAAAGAATCTCTTCTGCCTTTGCCTGAGAATTTTACCACAAAATAACACACAATGCAGAGAATATGACTTTTATTAAAAGCTTAGGAAATTGGAATTTGTGTTTCACTCCACTTGAGTTTTGCTTTGCCTTTTGTACCATCTTTACTGGCAAAGTTAAATATTTAAAGTAGCTAAGAAACATCCCAGAGTAGCTGGGCACAGTGGTACACAGCAGTAATCTCAGCCATCAGGAGGCCGAGGCCAGAGGATTCCTGGGGCCCAGCAGTTCAAGGCCAGTCTGGGCAACATAGTTGAGAACCTGTCTCAAAAAGTAAAAATAGTAAAATTGTTTTAAAAAGTTATCTAATATTTACCATAGGCCCAGCTGATAAAGCCAGGTTAGCCAGTGTAACAGGAATAAACACCATCATCTCTGCCATCATCCAGAAGTCAGTATTTTCAAAAATATGGATCTCTAACTTCCTACATGCTGGGGCAATTGATTTTCACCAGGGCCTCGGTGAAGGGTGAGCAATCCAGAGCTGTCACACTGACAGTCGAAGCAAGCCGAGTTTCTGGTAAAGTCTCGCTTTTGCTCATGAGGCAGGCTTTGAGTCAGGAAGATGGGTTAACTCAGTGGGCATCACTGGCTTTTCCTCAGTTCCTTGGCAGTCTTCACCCCATTTCTCCCTCTGCCTATGGATGGACGGTGAGAGCAGGTAGGACGTCCTGAGGAGGGAGCACACTCAGTGTCCCATGGATGTAGCCAGAGGCCCACAGGAGACTCAGTGACTGTGACAGGCTATACTCTGTCTTGAGGTGTTGGCCTGCGATGGATGCCGAGTCCAGCTGTATCAACCAGTAGGCTTCTTAGGATCGGGTCACCTTGACATTCACCAGCCCAGCACACAGTAGGCCAGCTGCAATATTTTTGGAGTGAAAAAGAATAACTTTGCAATTTCCCCTAGCAGTTTGGGACATTGGACGTTGAAGCCTTTGTGAACCCTGTAGCACACCGAGCTGTTGTGACCGAAGCAAGCTGAAACCTTGGTCACAGCTGCAAGTAGGTCACCAGGTCCCTTGGGCATCTCTGCCACAGTTGTGAAGCACACACTGTGCACAGCTCCATGCATCCTCTGGTGGTGACTGTTCTGCATTGAAACCGGCACTGCTGTGCTGGGCTTGCGCTGTGAGCAGGTGTCGGAAGGACCAGTGTGGCACCAAGGCAGGAAGCTTCCGAGCTGGGCTCACTCTGTCACATGGAACCATACAGCTGCTTTCTGGCGTTAAGCCGTGATGGCGCTGTGCAACTTATGGCAGTGGAGTTGGCTCACTGAGAGCGTACGAGAGGACCTAGCTTAAAAACGGCATTTCCTTCAGGTTCGCCCTCTGTAGCAACTGTGACACCATAAGCAAGGGTAGATCTCATCCGAGGCCCACGGTGAGAGTTTAGTGAGTGTGCGTTGGTTGACCGGGTGTCTGCAAGCCTCTCCCTAAGGAGCTGGACCTTCCCAGTTCTCATCCCAGTCTCCTGCTCCTCTGACTACATGGAGCAAATGTCAGAGGTCCCCTGTGGACCTAGCACACTTCTCTGTGCTTGCGTTTCTGGGTCTGGTTGCCTAATGCTGGCGGCCTCCCAGGGCAGCCAAGCTCACGAGAACGTCTGTCTGGGAACCCACCTTCTAGACCCAGGCATGGCACTGTGGATGCTGTGGTATTTTCTGAGATCGCTGCCATCTGTCAGCTTTCACCCCTTGGTTGAGGAGGAATGCGAGTGAATGAGTGCTGTAGGAGGACAGCTTGCATTTTTTGAGAGTGAATTGTCTGTGTCACATGAACTGTGAGCCATCCTGCTTGAAGACTCAGAGCAGTCTTTGCACCCGTGCTGTGGTCTTAGCATGAGGTTGGATCACGAAGAACATCCGGTGGGTTGCATGCACACAGCGAGGCGGCTCAGAGCCACGTTTCCTGCCCTGCTCTGCAGAAGCCCCGAGAGCAGCGCCGTCCTGCCTCACTTCAGCAGACGAGGTCCCTCTGTCTCAGCATAAGATCATAGGCCTATCTTGTGATGTCACCCGTGGCCTCTGGGAAAGGAACCCTTAAGCAAGGAGCTGCTGTGTTCTCCATGGTAGAAGCACCTCAGTGGTTTGTAGACGATCCCAAGGTTTCAAAACGGGAGGAAATTAAATGAGCTCCTAAGGTTCCTTTCTGGCTGGGTGTGGTGGTGCACAGCTGTAATCCAGCACTCAGGAAGCAGAGGCAGGAGGATCTCCAATTCGAGGCAGCTTGGGCTACATAGCAAGTTTGAGACCATCCTGGGGCAAATAAAAATTCTTCTTTTCCAGAATCAAGGAAGGAAAAGTGCTTTCCCTGTGTTCTGGGACTTTCCTTGGGTCCCCATTGCTGTCCCTCACACCCACTGGGAGGCCGGGACTCAGAGCGAGGAGGTAACTGGAAAGGGAGATCACGGTGCGACATTAGGGTGACTGTATTTCCTGAGCTGCGTGTAATCTTCCATTGTCAGGAGCGAAGAGAGGGGCCTTCCACCCCAGAAACGCAGAATATATCCTATATTGAGTAGTAAGTTTGCCGTTTCAGACTCTTCGTTCCACGTTCTGTTTCCATTAGTCATGGCTTTGTGTTTTTTTTCTTTTTTTTTCTTAATCACTTAGGACAATATCTGGGTCTTTTGCTTTTCTTTAAACAAAAGCCCTCTGGAATTGGCTCGTGCTCACCGGTCCTCCTGGCCTTGCAGTCACTTACATTTGCATGAGGCAGCTTTCCCCCAGTTTAACAGTCTTCAGAGGGCTTTTGGTTACAGTCTGCCCCTCTGGCAGAGAAGCTGGAGAGGGTTTAGCTGGAACTGTACTGGAGTTTAGCCAGAAACTGGCTTCCCAGCTGCCTGGCTCCTGAGACAATTCATCATAAAAGTAAACACATGAAGTCAGAAAAAGGTTGCCGGACTGTTCCAGTGCACAGCCAGAAACAGACAAGTTTACGTCAGTGATGGAGGGCACATCAGAGCCCAGGCCTTCTTGTGGTCCTCCCTGGCTCTTCTTAACATAGGTTGAGGTTCTGAAGCCGTGAACTTGTCTGCTGGGACGTCGTTGAGGAAATCTCCTGGTGGGTTAATGCAGACTCAAATCTTTCAGCTCCAACACTCCGAGAAGGGCCGTGTTCGCTGGGAGCATGCAGCTGCTGGCCGGGGTCAAGCTGTGCACTGGGAGGACCTTAACCAACCACCCACACTACGAGGACAGCAGCCTCCGTGAGCGAACCAGAGCGGTGAGTCTCCTCCCTCCGCCTTCTCTCTTCTTGTGGACCAGCTGCCTGCTGCAGCGACAAGGGCAGAGCTCCAGGCTTGCATCGCCTGATGTGTCCTGCCACCCATAGAAGCTGTTTAGGATCCTCTTTCCTCAGAGGAATGGTTGGGAAGATAGAAACCCTGTGATGCACAGAGGCTGTGTTTAGGACAAAGCCTTCCTTGGGGTTTTTAAACTAGGCAGGGAGGGAAAAGCAGTGCAGACGTTTTGTAAGCCATCCTGTCAGGCATTTCTGATGTGGTTTGGGGTGGTGCTGGCTTTTAATTAGACAATGCAATTGTTCAGAGTTACACAGAAAGTGAAAAGCCTCCCTTCCACCCTGTGCTCTGGCTACAGGGGTGAATAGGGCTGCGCTTCCTGCCTGACAAGGATATGTGCGTACATTGTTCAGATCCTTACCCCCCTTCCTTACAAGAGAAGTAATGGTATACCTTGCTTTTCTCGACACTTAGTGTATCTTGCTCCCCTGATTCTTGTTTTGTTTCATTTTGGTTTTGCAGAACCTCTCACATGTGAGGTGAAGTCCCTGCCACTGAGCTACACCCCAACCCCCTCCGTCAGTGCTTTTTCTTTTAGTACTGGGGTTTGAACTCGGGGCAGCTTGGGGCTTGCTGGGCAGTTGTTTACCCCTTGAGCCACACTTGCAGCCCTTTTTGCTGTGGTTATTTTGAAGGGAGGATCTCACTTTTGCCCAGAGTGCCCTGGACAAGGACCATCCAATTTTAAGCCTCCCACTGTCTCTGGGATGGCAGGTGCTCGCCACCACACCAGCTTTTTCCATTGAGATGGGGTCTTAGGACATTTTTTTTATTTGAGCTCTCCTGTATCCAGGATCCTCCCAATCTGAGCCTCCCAAGAAGCCAGGATTACAGGCATGAGCCACCAATCTTGGCTTCCTTGTTATTTTTAAGGCTAGGTGCTGTTTATATTGGATGTTTCATGTTTAATCAAAACATTTAGGCCATTTCCCTGACTTTTGTATACACGGAGCTTCAGGTAGTAGGCGTGTGTGCACTTTACACGCAGTGTGCGCGCACATCCGTTCTTGCATGTGCAGGTACTGGGCTGAGGAATCTGTGCGGCTGGAATTTCGACAGTGTCATCATTAAGCCACCTTGTGTATGGGCTGCCTGAGCTGACATCAGTCAGCGCACGGGAAGGAGAGCTGGCACCGCAGTCCTCACTAACAAGGTTTCAGACTTGAATGTGCCATGTTGGTCACTTCTTACTGTCAGTAGTTGAAAAGATCTTGTTTGCAGGTGAGGTTTTACTGGCCAAAAAAAAAACCAAATGATTTTTACCAAACACCCTAGCTATTGTAGAGTCATCTGAACTCCTGCCACCATGGGACATTTTCTGTTGGCCCTCGAGTTCTGGTGGCTCTGGGCTCAGTCAGGAGCAGTGGACACCTCCTGGCTGAGCTCCACCCCGACCCTCTTCCAGGGATACCAAGTGTTACTCCCTAAAAACCAATGTCCCTGGATCCCAGGGCCATTCCACCATGACCTTTGGCCCCTTAAACCATCTTTGATCTGAGCCGTCACACCAGGGTGCAGAATGCCACCTCCTGTGTGAATGCAGCCAGGGAGGTGACACCCACCTAGAGGTCAAATCAGCCTTGGAAATGAGTAACAAAGGAGGCAGTGTGGCCTCAGGACCCCACACTCCGTCCCCACGGCACCTTCCCCAGTGCCAGGCCCCAGGATCCCGGACGGTGGCAGTCTGTCTGTGTTCACTTGGGGTGCATGGCAGTGGTGGGAGCCCAGGCTCCCTGTGCTCTGGGGAGGACAAGAGGTGGAGATGAGTATTCAGAAGATCCCCTGTCCATAAGGCCCAGGCTAGGCTAGGGACTCTGCAGAGGTCCTGTTGCCACCCTCTGTCACCTAGAGCTGGGTCTCTTCCTCCTGGGCCCATGTGCCCTGCGGGTCCCCTCGGCTGTGTCGTGTGCGCTCGTGGAGCGTTCTTAGAACGGGCACCTGTGTGGATAGACTCGGGACTCAGCATTGCAAATCCACCTGCGATGGATTCGCCGAGCCCCGCCGTGCTCGAGACCCCTCCGCCTCCCCTCCCAGCTACGTCCATCTGCACAGGGGGTCTTGGGCGTGTAGTTCCCCCGCCCCGTGGGAGGGAAGGTCACGTCCGATCCTCCATCGCTCCCAGGGCCAAGAGTGACATTGCCCCATCTCGTCTGTCTCATGTCCCCCAAGGTCTATCAGATCTACGCCAAGAGGGCCCCAGAGGACGTGCACGCGCTGCTTAGGTCCTTCGGCGCCGACTACGTGATCCTGGAGGACAGCGTCTGCTTCGAGCGCAGGCACCGCCGGGGCTGCCGGCTGCGGGACCTGCTGGATGTCGCCAATGGACACGTGAGCTGGGCGTGCGGGCTGCCCGCGTGGGGAGGGAGGGTCGATGCTGTGTGCGCCCATCTCCCGGGCAATACCGGCAATGACCCGCGGGCCCCGAGGCGCAGGGGTGGGGGGCCGAGGTCCCTAGTTCCACGTCAAACCAAGCAGCTCTGCGTAAAGCTAATTTTTTTACAGATTGCACCTCTGAAAGTCAAACAGCCTTTAAACCCCCTGCTCGTCCTCGAGTGGCTGGCACCAGGCCCGCCCCTCTCACAGGGTCCCCTGTACCCCGCGTGTGGCCGCAGACATGGCTTTTGTGGCTGAGCCGCAGTCCCGCGTGGACTCTGCTTTCTCTGCTGAGGCCCCGATGGAGCAGAGCGGGTTTTCTCCCCGTGAGGCTGATGGGCCTGGTGGGGTAGAGCCGGTGGCTATTTGTAAATGAGAGGACAAAGGACAAGCCGACCTGGCGCTGAAAACCACCCGGCTGTGCAGAACTTGAAACTGAGGCTGCTGCCTGAGCAGTGTCGGTAGCTCAGACATGGCAGCCAGGCCTCTGTGTTGCTTTTTCTCACCTGTCCGTCCCTGTGATGAGCTGGAGAACTTTCTCTGGTCGTACACGTTCTCTGTATTTGATTTTTGTGAGAGGAACAGGCCAGGACATTTCTGAACAGCAGGGATCTGACGTCTGGTCCTGACCTTGCCGTCAGTGATGGTCAGCGTGTGACACGGGACTCTCCTCCCAGCCTTGGAGCCACGTGACTGCTAGCATTAACGCTGAGATGAGATTTAATTTCGCTAACACATCATCCTTAAGGAAACCCAGTACCTGTTCCTACTTCTGTTGTCTGTTATAAAGGTGATGTTTTGCCAGGTGTGGTGGCTCACACCTGTAATCCCAGCACTTGGGAAGCTGAGGCAGGAGGATTGCAAGGTTGAGGCCAGCCTGAGTTACAGAGTGAGACCCTGTCTCAAAAATGAATGGATGAATGACTCTGATTTTCCTCCCCAAGTTGCATCTGTGTTTGTTTGGGGTTTAGGTGATGGACGGCCCTGGAGAAAACGACCCTGATTTGAAACCCGCAAAGCACCCTCGCTTCTGTGAGGAGATAAAAAGGAACCTCCCTCCCTACACGACCCACTTCACCAGGGTGTTTCAGAACAAGACGTTCCACGTCTACAAACTGTCCGGGAGCAAGTGACAGAGACTCCCGCCCAGTGCGCTGGCACAGCGAGCGGGCAGCGCGATGCCCCTCAGTGGCCAAGGCGTCCTGTCCCTGAGAGCTGCGCTCCGAGGCGGGCTGTGGGTCTCCCCCGTCCCGTCTGTCTTTTTTGTTATGTCCTAAATTTAGCCTAAGTGTGCACGGCTGCCCGAGACTGATCTATACCCTACAGCCGGTGGCTGAGGAGAGTGACCTGTCCACAGGTGGTGGGACACGCCACCTACCAGGCTGGAAAGTGGGAGCCTGGCGGAGTTGAAAGGCTCTGACTTCCAGCAGCTCTGAGTGAGTGCGGTTGACAGGAAACGTGGTTGAGTTACTTAATAGTATTTCACTGGCGAGGCACAGTGGTGGCTTTTTTATAAGCTCTTTATTGTCCTCTGACACCTGAGAATTTTGTAATTCTTCCCACTTGTCGTGCTTTTAACGTGAACACCACGATCCCATGGGGCCTTCGTATGTGACCTCGGCATCTGTGGTCCTCGCCTGCAGAGTGACGCGGTCAGTGACGTGCGTCCCCACACTGGCTGCAGAGGGCAGTCCGTTCCCGTGTCCCTAGTGTTACTTTAACCCTGCTGATCCTCCGCCTCTCCTCCTCCTTACCCACTTCAATTTACGGCGTTTGCAAAGTTTTGTAAACTTTCTGTGTTTTTAGCCTTTGTATTTTTACAGCCTGAACCGGGCAGAGTCTGGACCTTTGACCTGCACAATAGTACAGGAGTCTTTGGCACACCAAGTCTGACTCGTGGTCTCCAGCCGCATGCAGGCCCCAGTGAAGTGACTCGTCCTTGCAGAAAGGTGACAAGTGCCTCTAAATCCTGCTGATTTGTGACCAACACAGAGGAGTGTGCGTACCTGCGCACAGATTTTGAGAATGGCTTTTGTAAATCATCTGTCACGCTGGCGACACGGAAAAGCTGCCGGTGCAAGCGTACCGTGATTCCATGGAGCCAGGATGTTTAATGGCAACCGAGGTCCACCCTGGTCTCGCCAGTCAAGTGTCCTCCTCACAGTCCGTGTTGAGCCGTGGCCGTGGCTGTCAGGGTGGACAGCACCGCGGGTTCCAGCGACTCTGTGCCGTGACCGTGTGCGAATTAGCACTGAAGAAAGCTTACACCTGTCTGGAGGGGCACTGGGAACTAGGCTGTTATCAAATGAAAAACAAACAGCTGGTTTATTAAATTTTGCTACTCAGACTTCTGAGTTCTATGTTTTCTGGACCCGAGTAAGGTTGGAGACCACCGCAGTTTGGGGTAATACAGTGATAAAGCATTTTAATCAGAACTAAATTTTAATTAATCTAGCCATGACGCAGCACCAGTGTCCTTTGGCGAGTGCCTTACTCTGAAGCCAAGCACACGTGAGGTACACTGTGAGGAGGCTGTCGTTTTGTCCTTAGGAAACCTGTTACTTTTCAGGTATATTTACATTTCCCTTAAACATCCCCGTGCCTATCGGTCTGAAGACTGGGGTAGCTGGAGGCTCGGCATACGAGATGTACTTAAACATACGACTCTTTGGTGTTTTGGTTTTTTTTCATAGTACCATTGTCACCAGAACATTTGGTGTTTGGTCTTTAGTAAAAACATAAAGTGCCAAAAAAATAAAGATAAAATCTTGCAAGACAGAGCCCACACGTGCACTCTTCCCAAAACACTGTGACCCTGTGCAGAGAAGTCTGTGTTTGCCGAAGACCAGCTCAGCGAGCCTCCATAGCTTCAGCACTGGTCAGGATTCTTGCTCGTGGCCTCCGGCTGGAGCACACGGAGGGGAGAGGAGAAACACCTGGCCCTGGCGATGGTTTCCAACCCGTGAGCTGAAGCAAGAGAGACCTGCGGCCCGAACTCCCGCCACGTGGGCTCGGGAGCCGTTCACCTTTGCTAATGACCTCAGGTGCTGCTCCCGTTTTATGGACAGGAAAAGCACCTGGGTTAGAAGTCAAACGAGCCTCAGAGTACAACACAGGTGCTCTAAGTTGACTCTACTGTGGCTCCCAGGGCCCCTCACCTCCCTGCTGAGCTCCTGCTCCGGCACAGCAGGCGGCCACTCCCAGTGTCCTCTGCACTGTTCCTCCCACCACCAGTGTGCCCAGCCAGACCTCCCCGTGCAGGTTCTGCTGTTTGTCTGTTTTGGAGCGGGGCGGGGGGGCAGCACTGGGATTTGAACTCAGGGTCTCACACTTGCAAGGCAAGCACTCCACCACTTGAACCACTACACCAGCCCTGACTGCTCACTGTGCACCGCACAGCTCAGCCGGTATGTACATTTGGGAGAGATGTGAGTGAACGCAGACACTTCTGCAAAACTTAAGTTGAGTGCCTTTTGATAAAGGCTGATTGGCTAGTCAGAACTGCTTTTATGTTTAGTGTGGTTAGGAAAATTAGGAAGTTGGTGGAAATCAAGAAAATTTCTGGGCTTGGATTCCTTCACAGGTTTACATGAGTACTTGTTCCACCTTTAAAAAGAGCTAAACCAAGCCAGGTACCAGAGGCTCACACCTATAATCCCAGCTACTTGGGAGGAAGAGTGGCTTAAGTGGTGGAGCACCTGCCTAGCAAGCGTGAGCCCCTGAGTTCAAATCCTAGTACCACCAAAAATAATTAGCAAGTGACTGGTCAGCTGTCGTCTGAAGTTACGCCTCCCTGCTTCGCATGCCTGCTTCACTGAAGGGCCACCTGCTGCTGGTCGCAGTGGCTGCCGTGGCACAGAGTACTCCAGCAGGAAGGTCCCCACTGCCGAAATTACGGAACACAGGCTTGTCTCCGACATGTGAGCCGGGAGCATAAGAAGGGCCATTTGTTGACGCTTACAGATGATTTTCCCGGGCTGGGAGTGTGACTCAGTGGTAAGAGCATGTGCCTGGCATGTGCACGGCCCTGGCCTCCACCCCAACACCCCCAAAAATATTCCTGATCTGTGTAAGGTCAACCCAGCAAGCTCACGTATGTGTGCGTGCATGTGTATACATGTGTGTGCATGTGCTTGTGTGTTTGGTGTGTGCACACGTGTGCTTACGTGTACATGTTCACGTGTGCTCATGAATGCATGTGTTCGTGTCGTGTGTTCGTGTCTGCTGGGGTAAGGGTGATGTAGATCTGCTCTGTATATTTCACAATTAAAACATAAAAATACTTGTCTTCCACAGTAACTTTTGCAAAGTCATCAAAATTCCAGCTCCTCTTTGGCCAAAATCTACTCGGATTAACGTAGAAATCTTTTAAATTTTTAACTCAGACCTTGGAATTCACAGGAAGGCATTAAAATGTCCTCAGGTCTACGTGTCCCCAAATGCTTCTTCCGTGACAGCCCTGTGCCCTGGGCGGGTGGAGAAACTTGTCCCCGAGGGGGAAAGGCGGTTAGGATGAGGAAGGGACTGGCTTCTCGCGGTGACTGATCCTCTGTTTTTAACATCCTGTCGGTAAAACCTTACAAAGAGCTTTTATAACTTCTTGTACTGAATTGTAAGATTATATTCTAAATAAAGCTCTTTTAGATTACACAGCATGGGTGTCTGTCATGTCTTGAAGGTCAAAAGCCAAGGACCTTTTATAAACACGTGATAAGCAATGAGTCGCTGAAGATGGGTGTGGTGAGGTCTGAACCATACTTGTGAATGGTAAAGGTTTTGGATTTTGTTGCTTTTGTTTCTTTGGCCACACTGAGATTTGAACTCAGGGCCTCACACTTGCCAGGCAGGCCGCTCTGCCATTTGAGCCACGCCCCTACCCTTTTCTTTTAAAACTTTTTATTTGCTGGGTGGAGATACATTGTGGTATTTTACAAAAGTTCATACAACATGTGAAATGTGTCATTCTTGAATTGCCCCCTCCATCCCTCTCCTTTATCCCCCCCCTTTCCTGGAAGAGTTTCGGCGGTCTCGCTTTTCCGTTTACACACGTGCTCACAGCCCTTTTGCTCTGGTTATTTTAGAGAGTGGGCCTCGCTTTTGCCGAGGCAAGCCTGGAACACGCTCCTCCCATTTTACACTTGTCACGAAGCCGGGATGGCAGGCACGCACCACCATTGGTTGAGATGGAGCTTTTTGCCCATGCTGACCTCAAACCACAGTTCTCCCAATCTCAGCCTCCCAAGTAGCTGGGGATTAGAGGCATGAGATAAGGAGGGGTACCTTGTGACATTTCCACGTGTGCTTACAAAGTATCTTAACCAGATTCCCCCTCCATCGAGCTCCCTCTCCCCCAGAACAATCTGAACAGGTTTCACTCTCCAGTTTTCATACATGGATACGAAATACGTCCACCACATTCACCCTCATGCCCCTTTCCTTGTGCCATCCCCTCCCACTGGTGCCCACCCCCAGAAAAGACTTATTTTTCCCTTCTGCCCTTTTTTTTTTTTTTTAGATTAAGTGTACATTGATGGTTCAAGGGGTTTTACCTTGGTACTTCAGACCTCATCCAGGTTGAAGTTGGTGGCAGAGTTCAGTAACTTACGTTCGTGGGACTGAGGCCAAAGCTCCTAGAGGCCACCCCTCTCCACACACAGGCGCTGCCTCTTTCACATCCAGAGGGAAGCATGTCCTGGAAAAGTTCACTTCCACTTTCAGGACTCTCACCTGATTATTTCAGCCCCACCCAGCATGGTCTGCACTTCTATTAATTCAAAGGCAACAAGTTTGGGGCCTGAGGTGTTCCCAGTGCTGCCCAGCACTGCAAGTGTCACCCCCAGGCAGGTCCCTTTGACCTGCTCCCTAGAGCAGGCCAAGGAGTGGCTGGAGCAAAGTGGGCACCTTCCTGGTCATCTGAGAAGCAAGAAGGTGCTGGGGGGAGGAAGAACCTGGGACCCCAGCTCTGCATGGCTGGAGCAGGACAGCAGCAAGCGGCAGGTGACAGGTGGATGTGCATAGACCAGGATGGGCAGCCGGAGAGCCAAACCACTCACCAAAGACCCAGAGAAAGACTGAGGGAGGGGAAAGGAAACGTGAGGAAGAGACTGGGCCCACCACTCAGAGAGCTGGCAGGGCAGGAATCTCTCAAGCTGGTTCTACCAACCTAGCTGAGGGCGATGGGAGATGCAGAAAGGACAAACGACAAGACAGACATGCAGAAAGCTTGGGCCAGGTGTGCTGGGCTCGGATGGAGACGCACAGCAGCCTCCTTGCTTCTTTTCTCTGTTGACTGCTCTTTCATTTGCTTCTTTTCTTCTCTATTCTTTAAGGCCTTACTTCCTTACTATTCCTTAAAACCTCGTTTCTTTTCTATTCTTTAAAGTCTCTTTCCTCAGACTCGCTCTGTCCCGTGTTCTCTTAGCTTTTCTAAAGCCTGTGTATAAAGTTCTCGTGCAGAAAGCTCGGGTGGAGTCACAGCAGCCAGCAGCGTCAGCGTCGGTGGCAGCCTCACCAGCAGCCCACAGCCAGCCAATCAGAATCCCAATCCTCCATCAATCCTTCAGTCAACATCCCCCGTCCTCCTCCAGCAAGTCTTTTATACCCAGTGGTAAACAATCATAAAGCCATTGAGGAAAAGGTAAAGTGATGGTTAACGTGTTAGCTTTGAATTCCCAGCTTATAAAGTGATTGATAGTTTCAGAATCACCAAACTGGTGAGACAACACCGTAAGGATGACAAACTGAGCCAGGTGTGATGAACACACCTGTGATCCCAGCTATTCAAGGCCAACATAAGAGGATCAAAAGTTCAAAGCCACCCCAGGCAAAATGAGGGAGACACTCTCAAAAGTGTGGGAAAATACAAAGCCAAAGTGCTGGCGGGGGCGTGGCTCAAGTGGTAGAGAGCCTGCTTAGCAAGCGTGAGGCCCTGGGTTCAATCTCAGCACTGCATAGGAACTTCTATGTATACGTGTGTGTATGTGAACATACACACACAGATAGATGATAAATAATGAATTTATGCTTGGCCCTTCTCAAAAAACAAAAACATGCATACAATACTAGCTATTCACGAGGTGGAGATCAGGATTAGATTAGATTAGATTAGATTAGAGCCTCCTGATCTTAACTGTTACGCAAACAGCGAGACCCCATCTCAACTTAATAAAAACTTAGTGTGGTAGTGTGTACCTACTCTCCCAGCTAAGCAGGAAATATAAATAGGAGGATCTTGATCCAGGCGAGCCTGGGCATAAAAGCAAGATCCTATTACAAAAATAACTACAAAAAAAGGGCTGGAGTGTGGCTCAAATGGCAGAGCACTTGGTCAGCAAGCCCAGGGCCTTGAGTTCAAAACCCCACTCCTTTCCTTCTGGCTGACATTCCAGCATGGTGCACTAAATGGAACACAAGACCTTGATTTGAGAGGGGTTTTCTTTGGGGGGGGGGTTAGGGGAAGGTCATCAAATTTCAGTCTGTGAAGATGGACACAGGTTGGCTGTGCAGAATTTTAGCTGCATAATTAGCAGAGGAGTCAGCATTTTATTTATAACGAGACTGAACAAGGGGAGTGAATTCAGCCTCAAATGTGGTGTCTTCATTTTTAGGAACAGAACAGAAAAGTTAGACAGCTTCCTTCTTAAAAGCAGTGAACTGCCTCTGTCTAATGGGCTATTACAGCCGGGATGAAGATGGAAAGTCACCTAATAAAAGCTGCAATTTGCATAGATGTGCCTTGTAATTACCTAACTGATGCCGTAATGGGGTTACCTTTCATTTAATAGGATTTGTGCTCGCTGACTACTGCAGGCAGTGGGATTTGCTAAAAATCAAAGCCGTAATTACATTTCTGGTTCTGATGTGAAAGACTGAAATGTTCATTAGCTGATATATATTCTTTCTATTTGTTAAAATCAAGTAGCGTGAGAAATCCAGAAGAGACTTTCCCTCGAGCTTTTATCTTTTCCAGGCCTTTGAGTCCCTTGACTCTGTGAGGTGGCCAAGGTGACAGACTAGGAAGAGGGTCACTCACGTCATTCAGTCATGTTCACCCCAGATGTGTGGTCCTGGCTGAACTGAGCAGAACGTGACAGCCAGACTCTGTGGTATGAACTTGGAAGTAGCCAGCTAAGGCCCCAGTGAACTGTTCCCATCACCACCACCTCAATCCAGGTGGCCTTGGGGCTCACTTTCGTTGGAAATGAAATCCGTGCTGGTCCATCTTCAAGGCAAGGCATTTACCTGGCCACCTGCTTGGGGATCAGCTTGCAGCTGTTGGGGGAGGGGCAGCTGATACAGGAACTTAAACCGGGAGGGGTAAATCACCATAGAATAAGGAAATGGGGAAAAACTGTATGTGCCAGAGGGCACACGTCACAGGGAGACCTTCTCGCCACAAAGGAGGCAGATACCCCCGAAAGCCCGCCTCTAGAATTTGAGCAATCCCAAGAGAGGCCTAGTTTAAAAGAACCCAATAGGCAATTGAGGTGACATACAGGGAAAGAACTACGTCCTACAGGACCCAGCCAGTGAGGAACCAGGACAGGGACTTCGCGCTACGCTGTATAACCGTTGCTGTAATGGCTTCCGGTGTGTCTGCTCGCCAGGCCCCCGATCTTGCAAGATGCCAGGGAAGTCTGGCTCTCACTGTGCTCCACGTGTCCCCGAGTCCCTTCTGTGAGTGTGGACCGGTGAGCGTGTGTCTCACGCTTTGCCTGGTGCAGGGCAGCAGACCTGAAGCTCGGCTCTGCTCTGCCTCTGGGGAAGCTTCTGCTGCCACGTGAGCAAAACTGGGCCAGAGTCCCCAGGGATGGGAGACCAAGCAGGAAGAGAAGCCCAAGACCCTAGACACACAAGGAGGCCATCTTGGATCCTCCAGCTGTCCGACGACTGCAGTTGAAACCAAGGGGGAAGCTGAACAAACCGTCAGATGTCACTGCTCTGGTGGACTTCACAAATCACTAATGCTGAGGTGACACGGTTGAGCTACACAGTGTTAGTCCCACTGGCTTCGCAGTGGACAGCACCACTGATGTGTGCATCGTGATGATAATCATTGCCTAAGTTACTTTTTTAGAAACTTCAAGGCCATTTTTGTTCCCTTGGGCCCAGACTCAGGAAACCATCAAGGCAACACCAGTGTTTTCTGAACTTGCATTCCATGAAAAGCCACAAAGACGAGACACTGGTTATTTTATTCTCAATCACCTCTCCCTACAACTCAGACCATCCTGTCCCTTGATCTCAAAAATATACCCAAAACCTAGTATAAAAGGAGCAGTGACAGGGATGACTCCATTTTGGGCAAGGGAGCCACACCACCTTAAGAGCAGACACCTAAAGAGCCGAGGGAAACTAGGCTTCTCCGAGAAATAACAAACTTCTCACCAAAGTAACAAGATGTGGGCCCCAAAGCCAGGACGAGCTGACCACACCCTCCTGGAATGTCCAGTACGCTAAGGAAAGGGACGGGCAGGTGATCAAATTTAATGAGAAGCTGACTCAGTGCCAACCAATCGCAAATGCAGTTTCAAGGTAGAATAACTGGACCTAACCCAGTTAGAACCCTATGTCACCCCTGGACTTCAGCCATCCTTTGGCTTAGCTCTTTCACTACGTCCCACCCGTCAG